TTCAAGGCCTTCATGAACCTATAGGTGATTTCAAACCGATCTGTGTTCTCCAAGGAGCCTCGTTATGGCTCAGAGATATCCCCAGACAGTTTTTTTATACATTGAAAATCGTATATGTACTTTTTTCCTCAATATTCTTGGGGAGCAACTCCCATTGCTCTCCAGGATTATATTTGACAGTTACTAGCTCTTACCACTTTTTTTGGATCATATATTACAGAGGCCAGTTCCTTCAATTCTTGTGGTATCATATGGTGTAGGGGGGCCATCTTCGCAGATTTAAGATCCCACTGCAGTTGAATACTTCTCAATCTATAGAAAACAATGCTCCATCCAAACTTACATGGTTGCATCTGTGTGAAATAACTACTTCGGGGATTAATGTTGTAGGTCAGCCTTTATTTTTTGCTGACAGTGCTACTTCAAAGAGATCCTGGCCTCTTGGATTTCAAAGGGTCTCTAGGTCTTTATTACAGTAGTTACAAGGGCTTTCCAAAAATAATATAAAAGTAAGACAACTTTCACAGGTCACAATCCACCAATGAGGAACTAGTAGCCACCTGAGATGGCACAATGAGTTAAGGCATTTTTGGAGTATCAAAAAGGTCCAAAAATCGATCTACCACCTCAAAATCAAGGCATGAACCTTGATGTTCTCATGGAAGCTATTCGTAAGGTATATAGAGACCATGTTGGGTTACAAGCAAGACCTCATTTTCAAAGGTCTTATCCAAATTACGTAGTAGAGAACTAGTATTCTCCAAGGAATACTAGGATTATATAATTCACCTTGTTTTTATCAGAAAGACTCTCATTTGACAATCAAGTACATCAACCATTTTACAGGTCAATGTGTAGGGGAGTTTGGTAATAATGAGTGATATAAACTCTAGGTGCTTTCGTTATCCTTAACAAGTTTTGCCTTTAGTTGGTATGTAGGCTTCCAACTGAATTCTCTCCAAAATTAGGCCGACCTTAACCGAGTATTTCATGAAAGATTGATAACCCTAACTTATCCAACACTAAATATATATCCTAGACTCCAACCTTTTAACTTAATCCGCAAAAATATTTTGGTAAAATTGAGGACAGAGACTGTAAGCCAAGCAATCAAGTTCAAAATACTAAAAAAGATTTCAAAATCAAAGCACAACATGCGACAAGTACACAAACAAGCACAATTTATCCTCCTACTAAAAAAATATAACCCTAGCATACAATTATATGAAGCATTCAAATGGAGAAAAAAAATAGAAATTTTCAATTTTCAATTGTAAATTTTAGTTCGTTTAGCTGTAGAACTCTAAAGCATTTGCATTTAAGAAAGAAGCATGAGTAATGACAACGATAAAACTACGGAAGTAAGATGCATAGGCATAGATAGATTCACCACTTCTTCTAGTTCCAGTAAGTTCACCTCATTGAACTATGAAATAAACAATATAATGATTGAAATTAGATGACCTCTATATAAATTTTACCATTTACAAACAAGGCAAAAATAGACAACAATTTGAATGTAAATAAAAGAGAACATGGTTCATAGAGGCAAGCTTGGAATGTTAATTAAATTTTCAGCTATATTGTATTATGTTAAAAGGAAAAATAAAGAAAGTATCACAAATAAAATAGAGAACTTTAGTAGATCGCCTAGCATAGAAACAAGTGAAAGATTGTCACCAATTAATGTAGCAAAATACATAATCAATTTTGATAAAAAGAAACAATACATCCAGATAATAGTAATCAAACACACAATTATCTTGTTTTAATACGAAGCACAAAGTCAAAATATAGGAAACAAAATCTTAATTATTTCAGAAAAAAAAAATAGTAAGCAACTTCATCATATATCACATCAAGTTATATACGCACTTTAATATTCCCCAACAAAATAAACATGACCTGGCCTATGCACTATAATTCACACAGATCATGACCAGCACATTCTCAATCAATTTTTTCTTTAAATACCATAATAATTTAATGAAAATATACACATAAATCCGTTGCATGCTGAGTGCTATCCAAACCATCCATTAAACAAGCATATTAAACTAAAAATTATGCTTTATTGGCATAATTACAATAAAGCTAAACGAAAAGATATGCTAATTTTAATATGCTAACTACACGACTTGAAGCTAAATTGAAAACAACAACAATGATTAATTAAGATAGCACAACTTAGACTAATTATACTAACATTACAACATAAAACTAGCATTAGTATTATGGAAAATCAAACTAATGTTCAGTACTTGGCAAAAACTAAAGGATAGCAGTACTATTTTGATTTTCACATTGTTGTAGCCTTCTTTACGCAGTTTCTTCTTTCTGGTGCCAAAGAAACTTTTGTTCTCACATGTCGTGTGTCTTTGAACAATTATGTTTTCTATTAAAAAAAAGCTTACAACAAAACAAGATAACAATACATTCATTGATTCAATCACTATTTTTATATTAAGCTACAAAAATTCTTCATATATCTATGTAAGATTTCTACACATATGACAACAAATAAAGACAACTTATCAAAGTGACCCATTACCATTCTTTCAAAACAATAATCTAATAGTCATACTATGATCTTGACATAAAATCTAAGAATTAGTAGGGCAATCCATGGTTCTTAGATTAGTATGCTATAAGAATTGAAATTGGATGGAATCAGTATAAAAGATAATTAGCGAATGAGCAGCAACATTCCTAGAATGTTGAAGGTATGCAGACATCTATTCCCTTGCACTAGTTACAATGGTGACTATTCAAGAAGCCAAATACATGTTAAAAACTTAGGTAATAAACCAAGTTAAGTATCTCAACTTTGTTGCCTTGCTTTGATCCATCTGACCTCAACTAGGGAATGATGTCAAACACTTATAGATCAAGTGGTGAGACATTCCTCGATTGAAGGCTTAGTTATGTGTTCTATCCTAAGCGGGTGTGTGTGTGCTTGAGTTGGGATAAATCTCCGTCGGATGCATGAATGTATGCATGTGTGGGTAAAAAAAATTAGGGAATGATTGTTCATCAATGTCATTTAATTTTTTTACTTGTAGCTAAGTTTAATCGACCAATTGGATATTTATGTTTCATTTCTAAAATGGTGATCTTCAGGATGAAGTTCGAGGGATGTGCATCATGTATAGACATTTTGCACTAAAAAAACATAGTGTTCTAAATGTTAGTTTAGTATATTTAATTGTTCTAAAATAGCATTGTTGGAAAGCAGAAGTCTATATATGTTAGGGGTTTGAATTTTGGGTTAAGATTTGAATAGTAAAAATTTTAAATTTGAATAGTTGTATGATGTAATATAAATAAAAATTGATGTGATGTTTTGAATATAAAATTGATTTTTTAATATAATATAAAAATGAAATATAAGTGTTTGATTTGATATTTTTTGAGAAAATATTTTGTAAATCCTACAAAATCCTTCAAACAAATACAACACTTTAGAGAAAAAAAAAAATATAGAAAACATCTAATATAATACACAACAAAGAATGATTAGATCATCAACCAAAATTTATTTAATGTTGAAAATTGACTCACAAGTTTGCTGTAAAACTACTCGGAGAAAAATATTTTTGCTCATTCTCCAATTCTACTTTTCCGGTCTGAAGCTTCTTGTTCAAATTAGCAAATCCTATTCTAGAAAAATAAATAAACAAATATATTATCTTTAAAATCTATAGAAACTACCCAACAAGAAGTAACAAAAAGAGACAAAATGCTAGAAGACAACACAAGCATAAAGGGAATACAAATTAATATATTTTAACAAAAGAGTTTCACTCCATACCAAATCACAAGTAGGGAGAAGGCCAACAATGAGCTGATTTATTTCATCATCTCAAAAGGAGATTATAATTTCATTAACTCACTAAGATATAGATAGTTGATTTTGGGTCAAGAAAGAAAAAAATTAGCCAAAGGGGCAATTGATCAAGCACATGGAGTGCGAGATGGAGAGGTAGTTACATAAGTGAAAGTTTTGGGGATAAGAAAGATCCATGGAAGAGGAAAAAAGAGAAGTGGACACTACAAGAATACCTACAAAATCAACCTAAACTCCATACCCAACAAACTAGTCAATGACATCCACACCAAAGAAAATAAAAAAGTACTATAAATAAAAATGAAAAAATATGTGAGAGGACCAATGGCAATCCAAGGGTTAAGAGGGTGATGACAACTTAACTAGGAAAGAGATTGGGAAAAAATTGTATATGAGGGGAGTTAGAGCTGGCGACTAACGGTCACAACCCCATCGTCGGTGCTTGACTCACAGGGAAGGGAGATAGATGACCAATTTTTTATTCCCTCAAACCCTAATAAAATTAACCATTACATAGGGATAACAATAATGAAGGACATATTAGGTGCCCGAAATTAGATGGCGGTGGTTTATCAACTCAACGGCGCTCAACTATGGCGACGGAAAACGCCTTTGATTTTACTAGAAGGAGGTAGGGCTTCAGAATCGAGATCTTAATGAAGATGAGTTGAATAATTTTTGGCTACGTATGAGAATTGTATAAGTGCAGTGATATAATAAATATTCTGTTTTTAAAGTTTAATATAATTAAAAAGAATTTTGTTACAAAAATAATTGCACAACAAGTGTATTTTATACTTTATTCCGTATCATTGACCTTTTATTACGAGAATTTAGTGTAAAAGTTATATTAAATAGTTAATTTTAAGGATAATATTTGTAACAAACATATTATTACGGTCAATATTTCATAGTGGAAGCCCGATTTTTTTGATAGTGAATGGATCTCAATATACCTTATATCTTGAATTCTATTACATCTAACCCGTCACCATCCCTACGAGATAATCCAAAATTGGATTGTTCCAACTAACCGTGTGGAGAAATAATTATATTTGCAGAACTTTGTATTCTTCTAGTTATTATTATTTTAAATATTTAGTCTTGAAATTACTGCTAAAAACTTACACTAAGAATCTAACCCGGCATGCAGGCAACAGTATATGTAGTATTTGCAGCAAATACAGCAGCAACACAGGCGTCGATACTGGCGATAACTGGGGAGAAAAGCTTCGGGTGGATGAAGCTATGCAACCGCTACACTCGATTCTGCATGCAGATTGGCGGCGCATTGTTCTGCGGCTATGTTGCAGTCATTTTGATGGCCATTACTTCATCCATATCTGGATATGCCCTATTCAGACATTACTCGCCCAAACACTTCCTTATCCTCAAGAAACAATGACACTTTAATTAATAATAATTCCCTCTTCAAGTTGGTTAATTAAGGATATGCGGTTCTAGTAAGTTATTGATATCTGAAATGTAAATGTCTACGGACATACTTACTAATGGACATATATTTCCATTACAAGTGTGTTGGTTTTCACAAATAAAAGCTTTCCTATTTGCCTTGATTTACTTTTGCCCATACAATATCTTTTTAATAATTTAAAATGAAAATAAGCATAATAAACAAGGGGTGTGCTCTTTTTGTTAAAATATATTTCTCCAAAAAATTTATGTATTATACACATTCATTATTTTTATGCTACCTCCGTCAGTTCTAAGGTCCCATCTATTTTTTGGGTGTTGATATTTGAATATTAATTTTTATATTAAAATTTAGTAAAAATTAAGAAAAAAAATGCAAAAATACTGTTATTGGTTTGTACGAAAAATTATACAAAATATAAATATATTTTTAATGTTAAGTACAATGACGTAAAAGATAAATATGAACCTTAGAGACGGACGGAGGAAGTATTATTTACATGATTTTCTGCACCTCACATAAAAAAAATATCATTTCAAACTATTTTACAGAATAAACACACCAAAGCATCACTTAGATCAACGAACATTACCCGGATGTGTATTAAACTTTAGCGAAACAAATCTAATTTCAAGATGTCTTTGTAGCACAACTCGGATTTATAGCTATTATTTATTTTTTCTTTAAAGAAAATATTTAAATCAATATTAAGATAAATCAGCCACTGTTAAGATAGATAATAGCTATAAACTAACAGAAGAAGTATAGTATAACCAATGGATTATGGGCCACAGTAGAGGTCAGTGAATGGTGGTTACCGTGTTGATTATGTATACGGTGTTGATAGAATAATAATATATATCGACAATCTATTATATATAAATTAATAATAGAAATTCCATGAGATCTAGCAGTACTTATTTTTCTACCTAGAGATGAGATACCTTTGCTCAAAAAATTTAGTTTCAACAGTGAAAAAAATCCGTTGCATTGTTTATGATTTTCGTCATATAATTTAGAGTGCCTGATCGTTGAGGAGATTTGTCGAAGAGCAAACAACACCATTTAAAATTTTCATATCTCTTGGATTAGTGAAGCTCTGAAAAACAATAGTATTCATATACAATTTATTAAGATTAAAAATCTCCATTTACCAGCAGCTTAATCTGGATGGCAGAAATTTCGACCACCTCAAATACATTAGGTTGGATGCGACGGATAGTGTTAGGCAATGGCTACCTCGTCACATGTAAGATCTGAAAGAATTGTTAAACAGATGAATAAAAGAGTTAAGAATAAACCCAATGATTAAATCGTTTTTAATCGTCAAAAATCCACTTTCAAGCACAATTTAATGGAAATTCTTAAACTCATGCACAATATAAGTCCATCATTCAAAACCATACATAATACAACCCAGTACAAAATTAATAATGAATTTCCTAACAGTTCAACCTATTTCAATCATCCAAATCTTTTTCAATGTCTTAACCAACAAGGTTGAAACAGTCGATAATTGATCTTTCCTAGCATGCCAGAACTGCCAAGAAGCAACACTTCCAATTAGCCCATAACGATCCCCGTGTAGTGTGCGTATTCGGTCCCTGAACGATCGAAATTCGTAGACACCGTCTGCACTACTGGCTAACTCCTGGAACATGTGTTTAAAAGGGAGGGGTTGAGGGTTCTTGTTAGAGAGAGTGTGCATGCCTAAATTACCCAAAAACCTCTGACAATATTATATTGTTGCATGATGATATTGGTAATGAAAAAATATATATATATATCACCGAGTAATGTTCGGACCACAACCTCGTATCTCTTTTTCGTGGGCGAATCGAACAGACATAATAGAAATTGAAACCCAATAACTTGTGGCATTCGTTCAAAGACTCACTCCATCGCAAAATCGTAGCTGTCCATTTTTCAAATTTTTTTTTTCTACTTCTTCTCCAAATTATATGTGGTGTTTTCAATAGCTTATATAATGGTGGATTTTTCTTATATGCGGCAAAAATTAAGGTTATCATCTTAAAATAACAGTAATTTTATGGTATAAAGTTAATTTCGGTATATTAATATTTTGTATGTTGTATAGTATACCCGTCTATCAAAAAATCGACGGAATATACTGAAAAATCATGTAGTATCGACATAATTTTTTTTGTTATAGCATAGTTCTAGGTATACCGAATAATTCGGTGTGGTAATAATATAACGTTCTCTTGTACCAATATTTATGGTATGATATACAAATAAAATTTTCAATATTTCCTACCAATATGCTCCTTATGAAAAGTTGCTCCCAATATTTAAAAGTGCCTATTTTAAAAGATAACTCTTTTACCCACATAAAAAAAACCATCATCAAAATTATTTCTCTCCGTCGTATTAATAAATCTATTATTTATACCATACAATATTTAACACTAATAATTTTAAAATATATTATCGTAAAATAAAATAATTTATAAAATATAACATTTTAAATGAACAACAACACCAATAATAATAATAATTTGTTATACATTATTTATTTTCATTAAAACAGATATGAATTTTATTAATTTTTTTTTTTCCAAAAGTGAATTTTATTATAATTTCTGAGAAATTGTTTATATTAAGTAAAATATTTTAATTACAGGAAATGGAGAATGGTGGTAGAGCTGCTTGTGCAAGGACCTTTACTTACCTAATAATATTTTCCTTTAATATATATATATATATATATATCATTATTTGGTAGACAATGAGAACCAATCGGTCTGTTTGATCCCTTGCAAACTATATTTAATTGTAGTTCCGTACGGTACTTTTGATAATAACATTGCCAAGATAAATGTCTAATTCAAATATTCAATTACATGAAGAAGAGCAAGTTTGACATCCAAATTTTTTTAGAATGAGATATTAGGACATGCAGTTAGAATAAGATATTAGGACATGCAGGCTCAATATTTCTTAATTTTGCATAGGAACTATCTTACAAAAAGCCTCAATGATTCAACCTCACTACAAAAAAAAAAATATATTTATAATGGAATTTCGTCCCTAAAGTTAACGTAGCTAACGTAATTTTATTACTAATTCCATTTTTAATGTTATTAGTAACAAGAAAAAGTAGATTTAGAGACAAAAAAAAAAAAAAAAAAAAAAAATTGTTACAAAAATGATTTTTTTTTAAGAGCCTGTGAACCTATCGGAGCATCTCTTGCTTCTCAATTCAAGCCAAACCAAAACTATATGTCATACAGACAGTAGAGAAACATTCTTCGGTTTCAAACACAATAACAACGCATAGAGCTTATCGTTAAACTATTCAGCATAGAGCCTGCATGAGATTTGTGTATCCAACTAAATCCCTAATGCCCAAATCACAGTTCAACTTGGAATGCAGCAGAGCACATTAGAAAAAAGTATCATCACAACCAAGATCCAAAGTCAGTCACAACCATTTCGATAGTAGACGAATTGTATTAAGCTGGAAACCAAATTATGTCATGAATTCGCTTACAGAAGATCAGAGATATTGCTCAACCAAAAGATAGAAAATATACAGTTAAACGAAGAAACCAAGAATCATCCATTATCTTCTCTGCAAGAATCCGAATTTCTAGCTACATTAAATAACTGAGGATATGACTAACTTAAAAGATTTGTGAGGCTGCAAAGAGAAGTGCAATTGCAAGTAGTTCTCAGGCCCTATTAAAGCTCCCATTCAATGAGCTCAAGCACAGATTTAAATTCCAATTCAATCCACCAATGCACCATTTCTAAACCTAATTCATCACTGCAGATACTAATGCCCCCAAAGGCCAAAACTCATAGTATCTTATTCAAACATAATTGAGCCCAAATAATGAACAAGACAGAGCATAAAATGTACAGCTGGGATCTATCAGGAAAGTGCTCTCACTCACTCCTCCCAAGATGATATCATCCAGCGCACCCCAAGGAAGATCTCTAGACAAATTACCTCTGCCATTACAAGAAAAATGAGAACGAAAGAGAAGAAAATTCGTCTCGAATAGAAAGAAAGATCAATGTAAGTATTTCAGAAAAGAAATGGCTTTACTTAGAAACTATCATACTATATTACCAAGAATTTGATGTTCTTTCCATTTTATCCAATTGAGAACTTTGGGGGTACGTATTTAGCGAAGGATGTTCTGGAATATACCTTCAGATCGAAACAACACTTTACCACTCTCAAGTCCCGCTCTATCTTTAACAGCATCGATCATATTTTTCATTCCAATGAACTCTGTTAGTTTAATTAATTATTTAATTATATTTGAATTTTGATTATTTTTGAATTATCTTATATAATTAAACTAGCCATTGTACCAACTTTTTTCCCATTAAGTCCATTGCATTCAAAATATACGTGAGAAGCGGCGGCAGAAAAATCGTGAGGATGGTTTTTCTTGGTTAATGAACCTACTCTCACAAAATTAGAATACACCGTCGCTATTTGAGAGCCCAGCGAGCCAGGGTTTGACAACGTCATTCTAGGGTTCTATGTTCTAAAGTTTGGCAACATCTTCCTAAGGGTTTAAAGAGTTTGGCAACACCATCTTCCCACGATTCCAATCTACAGTTTGTTTGAATAAGAAGATCTCGAGAATAAATTTAATTTTCAGCAATGGCTGGAGGTTTGTTTAAATTTTGCTATTTGCTTCGGCTGACATATTTGATTTGAGAATTATTTCTTACATTCGTATCAAAGCAATTTTTGCCTCTGCCTTGCTTTGAATTTTTTTCTCATCAAATTCTTGATCATAGCTTTAATTTCTTATTTGGAAATATATATATTTTTATTTTCAACAATTGCTTTACGATATTTTCTTGATCAAAATCCGATCTTGCTATTTGAAAAATTTCATTCTGTTTTTGAGGAAAATTTTGAATTTTATTTTGAATTTAATTTATGCAAAATATTAAATTTCTGAATTTTTCCTGTGTTTGGACGAAGTGTTCAGATTCTTCTGTAATATCTTCTGTGCACTTCATATCTGTGTCAACTTGTACATGCAATTAATTACGTTCAGGAAACTTTTTTGTGTTAGAATTATTGAGTTATAATATTAGATGAATTAATCTGCAATCGAAATCAAATTTGTATGGTTTTGTTATCGATTG